TTGGGCTTCCTCAATTACAAGGTTTGAGAGACAAATTGCAGATACTAGAATATGTAGTGGATCTTACCAACATGATGCAATCTGCAGAAAATAATTTAAATTTAGATGATAAGTGGTACTAAATTGTAGTACTACGTAAAATCAATGGCTGAAAAGTATGTTGGGAAACGGAGACCGAACTATTGGTGAAGCCATTTGAAGGTGAATCTCATCGGTTGCATAAGAAAATATGTGAAGCAGCAATGAAGATCAGGAAGGCAGTGAAAGAAAACAAGTGGAGATGGCTTTTTATAATTGAATCTACTGAGCTGAGAAGGAAAGCAGTGAAATTAAGAAACGGTTTACCTAACCATGGAGAATAACCTTTTTTCCTTTTTATGTAAATTGATTATAAAAAGAATTGCACAAAAAAATATAAAAGAAAATAAATGGAAACTATGAGGGTGTTTGGGAAATTTCAAAAAGTAGATTTTTTTTAATAATTTAAAATTTTGTTGAAAAAAATTTTAAAAATTAATTTTAAAAATAAATTACTCCGATTATAGTCGAGAGAGGTTAGATTCCGTAAAAGTACTCATTATTTTTTTATCGCCAATGGCAATTGACTATGGAATTGACTTGGAAGTCGATGCAGGAGGTGTCGTCGAAACTTCACAAAATTGCCATGCAGGAATTGTCGTCGTCGAAACTTCACCAAATTGCCATTGACGATGGAATTGACTTGGAAATCGATGGAGGAGGTGTCGTCGAAACTTCACAAAATTGCCATGCAGGAATTGTCGTCGAAACTTCACCAAATTACCATTGACGATGGAATTGACTTGGAAGTCGATGGAGGAGGTGTCGTCGAAACTTCACAAAATTGCTATGCAGGAATTGTCGTCGAAACTTCACCAAGTTGCCATTGACGACTTGAAGTCAATGCAGGAGGGAGAGGTCGTCGAAACTTCACCAAATTGGAAGAAAGGGACGAACATGACTTTGGCCATGGCAGGGGCAAAATAGTCCTAGCAACAGAAAATTTTAACTTCTTTGTAGCTTTATCATTTTCCTAGTAAAGGTGCAAATAAGAATTTTAACTTTGTCTTTTTTTCTATTTAAAGAGGTTAACTTTATCAGTTTCTAAATAAATATGTCAACTTTTAATTTTTTTCTAAATAAGGATGTTAACTTTGTCAGTTTCTAAATAAAGATGTCAATTTTTAATTTTTTCTAAATAAGGATGTCAACTTTCAACTTTTTCTATTTAAAGATGTCAACTTTCAACTTTCAACTTTTTCTATTTAAGGATATCAACTTTCAATTTTTTCTATTTAAGGATTAATTGAATAGTGACGCTGACGAGGCTAATATATTTTTGGTTAAATGCTAAATTTGGTCCCTTAACTTTACGAAATGCACATTTTTGGTCCTTCAACAATTTTTTGCACTTTTTTGATCCCTCAACTATACAAAATGCACTCCGTTAGTCCTTCTGTTAATTTCGATCGTTAACTCGCTTATGTGTCATTTTTTATTATTTTTTTGATGACGTGGTAAAAATAAATTGGAAACGTGTTGAAGTGGATTTTTTTTTTCATTATGTGGATTTTTTTTCATGCCAACTCATGATTACTATTTATATTTAAAAAAAAAAAAAAATTCCGTCTTCTTCCTTTCTCTTCTTTCTTCCTCTTCTTCCTCTTCTTTCTTCCTCTTCTTCCTCGGACCGGCCATTGAACCCAGTTTGCTGGGTTCGCTGGAACCCAGGCTGGGTTCCGTTGAACCCAGCAACTGGGTTCGCTGGAACCCAGCAAATGGGTTCCATCGAACCCAGATCTGCTGGGTTCGCTGGAACCCAGTGCT